CTTTGCTCCAGTAAGCACTTGGTAGGACCACAGTAAGCCTGAGACTCTAAAACTCTAGTCATGAAAAAAAAGCTTAATGTGTACCAAGACTTTCTTGCAGGTCTTGCCTGCTCTAGCAATTCAAGATGAGACTTTGCTGAAACATTTTCTATCTTCTGCAAGGTCACAAGAGACAAAACACATTGTTATAGGATGACAAGGTTTGGCTCTCTGTGGGCCGTGAGGAGGGCTGTTGAACTGTGTATATATTAGACCCTTAAATCTGATGTTAGTGTGCTTTGGTAAAGCATATTGCCGTGCTTCAAATTCTAAGTATGAGAGTAAATCCAGCTAGACTAATACAGGTGCTTTCCAATAAGGGTGATGTAAGCTATTTCATTCAGCTTCTGCCTCGCTAAAAAAACTTTTCTGGAAAACCGAATGCTGAAGGTAAGAGGAACATGTTTACTGGCTTTTGTTTCCAGCTACTAGATCGTGCTGAGCAGGTTGTCAGGAGAATGTCACTCAATATAGACTTTATATCATTTAATTAAGAAATTTTTATACAATACCTGAATACTGTTTGCTTGAAATTCATATCACGTAAGTTTCATTATGTGTCACCATCTCTTCTGACTCTTGAAGGTTGGTTGTATCCAGAAAAGCTTCAGTATGATGTGTCTGATGTTAACTTCTGCCTATGCCCAACATTTTGGATTGTGGCTTGGGCCACTTTTTTTTTTAAATCTGAGTTGGACACTTAAAAAACAAACAAAGAACGAAAACCCCATTCACTCACAAACAGACAAAGTTTCTCAAATTTTATTTAAGGTTATACTCTCCCTTTTGTACAGTGAATAGAAGCAGTGAGAGAGACTTAGAGGTGAAAATAAGCTCTAATCTCACAATATGTGAGCATAACTTCAAGAAGCATTTTCTTCTATTAACGTTTTTTAGGCTGACTTGGTTCTGTGTATGTTCCTGTTTTATCCTTTAACATATGCTATTACAATTTAAAGTTAAATGTGTATCTCATTCTTCTGGAAAACTGCCATTTCAGGGATTGGGTCAGAAGGTTTATTTCCTTGACTGCTATGTTGCCAGACCCTTCTCAAAAGTGTTCAGTGGCTTAGCTTATATTCAGAGTGTAATATACTGTGTGAAAATTGCATGTTGTCTTCATTCCTGAAGTGGGAGACTTTGCCAGCACAACTGCAACAGCAGACTGGTAACACGGACAAGACAGTGATGACCAATCTGGAAGGTGTCCTGACGGTGAGCCTCATTCTGGCCTCTGTGTTAAGATTTGCACTCCCATAATACAGTTCAGACCAATTTTTGTTTTGTTTGCTCAACCACTCCCCCGCCCTGGGTGCAAGGGGAACCGGTCCACATGATCACACTGCACAAGCGTGAGCAACAAAACAAGTTTTCTGTTGTTTCAACAAGAAAATATAAAACCACAGTGTCAGCAACACCTCTTCTTTGCTCTATGATCAGAAATGATCTGGCAGTGATTTCTCTAGGTGTAGATCAGGCATACTCATGGTCTGCTTCTAGGAGGCAGAAGAGTAGTTTCAGATTTATTTCTTTTTTTTTTAATAATTTTCAGATGAACCAAAAAACTGCAAAATATCAAAAATTAAAAAAGGTGTAGTTCCCTGATGGACCACAAAAAAAGATGAACTACAAATATCCCCATATCCTAGACCCTTACCACTGTTGCAGTGGTAAGTCATTTGCTCTACTTAGAAGAAGTAAGGGATGGTTCTGAATAGGACAGGAATTATTCAGGGCACTCAGTGTAGGCTGTGCCTCTGAGTGCAAAATGTCAGCTATAAAAGATTATTTGTCTTTGTCTCAAACACCTGTTAGGAAAGGAAATATGTGTCTAGGACTGAGTGGGAACATTTCTATTTTATTTCTTTCTCTAACACACCAAGGATCAGCTTTTGATTTTTTTGCACGAATCTGCTTTTCCTTACACTATCCCATGCTTGGCACAATTTTTGCAGTGAAAGAGAAAGTTTACCCAAATGTCATCATCTTTGCTCTTGATGTAATATCCATGGGGTTCAAGTCTAGACAGCACAATAGCTAAAATAGAAGTGGCCACTCAGCAGGAAAGATGACATTATTGATAAGCCTGGTGAAGCCACCCCAAGATGCAGAAACCTCAGGGAGAAAGATGACAGACAGGGTAACACATAAACTTAGTAAGATTCATGCTTGCCCAGCAAAAAAAGGGAAATTCTGGCAGATAAAGACAGCTAACTATAAAAGCAATATTGCTATATAGCTCATGCCTTCTGATGGTACCCTGAGCAGCAGCATTGCTACTGTACTGTACATAAGCATGCACATTACTCCAGCCTAACAAAATGCTAAATGAAGTAGAATCCCCTAACATCGATCCAACAGGCAGCTATAATGCTGGGGAAAGCCAAGGTGAACAGATTTCAGGAAGCATCTAACTCGCTTGACTCCCCAGGCAGCAGCTGAATTGCCATGAATTAGATGGACCATTAGTCTGACTCAATGGGGCATTTCTCCTGAGGGTTTGATTTTGTTCACAACAATATTCTTCAGAGGCACTGGGGGTTTCAGTGCTGCACCACTACTGGATATTAGTGCCTGATAAACTGTGAGAGGGCTGTGCACACAGGTCTTACCTTCTGGGAAGGCAATCTGATAAAATGTGGAAAATGGCATGATACTAGACTAAGACAGTACTGCTAATGCACCCCTATGTTAATTTTTTTAACTATTCGGTAAGGCACTCTGAAAAACTGGGAGGGGTTTCCAAGGAAGGAAACTGTAACCATGCAGTGCTTTGTTTTGGAAAGAAGGGTATGAATGGCAATCTGATTCCTTCCTGGTAACATGCCAGTCATTTCAGCAGTTTCATTTCACAGTGAAGTACAAACTCGCTGTGAGAGATTACTGCATTCCTATCAGAGGCATCGGAAGCCAAGTGACACCAGCACCTCAACTGATCCCTGTAATTCATTCATCAGACCATGAATTAGGGCTTCTGAGGGGGCAGATCCTCTTCAGTCCTGTTGGCTGTGCTATGCAGGTAGAAAACTCCAGCAAAAAGATGAGAATGGTAGAACTCGACAAACTATGACTTTTTTTTTGCCTGGGACTCCAGCAATATGCACAGTGAATAGTGACAATCAGTTGACCCATAAAAAGTCTGTACTCCAGCAGGGAAGGAGGTGTTTGTTACTGCAGAAATGAATGGTTTGAAGGAATGGGAAGGGAAGGCCTCCTGCACTGACTATACCCATTAACAAACTCCTCCCCATCAAAAGATACCAGACAGGAGTTCCTGAACTTGTTGCTTGGGATAATTAATAGAGAGGACTTCAGGCTGAAGGTAACATAACAAATATAGTTTACACCACCATAACAGTTGAAGAGATGTAACCTGCTATGCCTTCTCTATGCCAAGCTAGAAGTCAATGTTATTTTTCACTTATGCTTGAGTGGACCTTACACAGGCGAGTTACTCGTGGAGATTAAAGGAATAAGTGGAGTTCAGAAGTTGTACTAAGGACTGAGCGAAGGTGGCAGTAGTTAACTTGGATGGAACAATATACTTACAGTTGAGAAGATTTTCCCATACTACATGCCTCTCATAGGTTGCCACAGAGAAAGGAGATAAAGAGTGAATGGAAGCGAAAGCAATAAAGAGGGGAAAATGGCAGTCAAGTCAGCTGGCAGGGCTCTGACAACCTCTTGCACAGCTGGGAGATCCTATTGCCTGTGAGGAACTGCTAAAAGCAGCAACGTTGCAGATCAGTGAGCACCTGTGGGCCCTGCTGAGGCCCTGAGGGAGGACATCTATAAATTCTTAGATCACATTGACTCCATTCTCCTGGTCAGCACCTCAGTTACCAGTCCAGGTGGTGGCACACAGCCCATGGCAGCAGCCTCTTGTCCCAGGCGGCCTATTCTCCACTGTTTGCGAGGGAAGGGACCAGTGCTCACCACAGTGGGCAGGGCTCAGGGTAAGAGCCTCGTAGGGGTCACCTGCAGTCTTTGATGGCCATGGAGCAGGCAGCTCCTGGGTCTGAGGTGGGGGGTGTGTGTGGAGCCTGGTGCTGGTGGCAGCACAGGCAGCTCAGCCTCGGCCAGGTCCCCCCAGGGGCTGCTGGCCCTGTCCCTGCGCTCCATCCCTGGCACAGATGAACATGAGCCAGCAGTGTGGCCAGGGTATCAAGAAGGCCAATGGCACCCTGGCCTGTATCAGGAATGGTGTGGCCACTGGGACTGGGAAAGGGATTGTCCTCTGCACTAGTGAGGCCGCACCTTGAGTTCTGTGTCCAGTGCTGGGCCCACCAGTTCAAGAAGGACATTGAGGTGCTGGACTGAGTCCAGAGAAAAGGGGAATGAAGCTGGTGAAGAGTCTGAAGCACAAGCCCTATGAGTAGCGGCTGAGGGAGCCTGGAGGAGGCTCAGGGGGACCTGATCGCTGTCCACAGCTACTTGACAGGAGGCTGTAGCCAGGTGGGAGGTCAGTCTCTTCTCAGAGGCAACAAGAGATAGAACAAGAGGACATAATGTTAAGCTGCGCCAGGTTGGACATCAGATGTAATTTTTTCACAGAAGGAGTGACTAGATATTGGAATGGGCTGTCCAGGGAGGTGGTGGAGTCAGTTTCTGGAGGTGGTCAAGGAAAGAGTGGACGTGGCAGGTAGTGCCACGGTCTCGTTGCCACGGTGTTCGATCACGGGTCAGACCCAGACAGTCCCAGCTCTTTTCCAGCCCACACGATTCCCGCTCCCGTCCCGTGGGGGCCCCGAGACGACCCCGCCCTCCGCGCGCCCAGTGACGTCACGGGGGCGGGGCTCCGGAGAGACACTTCCGCCTCGGTAGGGCCCGGCCAGCGGGAGCCCCGCGCGGGCACTTCCGCCTCGGTAGGTGTCATGGCGGCGGGGGCGGTGCCCCACGTGACGCCGCCGGGCCCGGCGCGGTCTCGCGGCAGCTCTCGCGGTGTCTCGCGCTCCCCCCCCCGCGCGCTCCCCGCTCGCCGGCCGCTCGCGCAGCGCTCGGCTCGCGCTATATAAAGGGGCGAGGCGGCAGCGCGGCGGCTGCAGCCCCGGGGCCGCGAGCGAGCCCGGCACAGGCCGCGGGGCCGCCCCTCAGCCGGGGCGGGACGCGCGGGCGCTGGGGGGACGCAGCCGGGCAGGTTTATTGTTTTAGGGGCGACTCCCCCCCCGCGGTTGGGGGCGTCCCGGGGGGCTCGGGACATGGCGAGCTCGACTAACACAAACCCCGTGGTAAGGACCGGGTCGGGGGTGAGGGGGCCCCGGGGCAGCGCGGGCGGAGGGGGCCTGCGGGCCCGCCGCCCCCTCCTCGCGCTCCCTTCCCTCCCGCCGCCCGCCTCGGGCGGTCCCGGCCCCCGGCGGGCACGGACGGCGGGGGGCGCGGGGCTGCCTCTCCCCCGCGGCGGAGCCAACTTGTGGCGCCCGGCGGCGGGCAGAGAGCGGCGGCGGGAGCGGGGCGGTGGGAGCAGGGGCGCGGGGCGGAGGCCCGGGTCGGCCCCGCGGGGAGGCCGGGGGTCCGGCGGGCAGGGGAAGGGAAGGAAGGGCCGGCGGGCGGGGGTCGCCGTCGGCGGGAGCCGCCCGGCGAAGGGGCGAGAGCCGGAGGAGCGCGGGCGCTGCCGCTCGCCCCAAGGCGAGGGGAAGGGGCGCCCGAGCCAGGTTTCGGTTTTGTGCTGTCGGCGGCGGGGAAAGCCCGCCCGGGCTCCGCTGGAGCCATTTTATGTTGCTTTGTACGAAGGAGACGATGGTTGAAAAGCACTTATCCCAGCCCGGCCTCGGCTAAGCCGGGCGAAAACCTCTCAACTCCCTTCTCTCGAGCGAGGCAGTATTTATTTTAAAAAGAGAAAAAAAGAAAAAAAAAAAAAGCCCCAGACCTCTTCCCCCCCCTCCCCCGTTCCCTTCTCGTGCTTTCTGCACCTTGGCGGGTGGCTCGCTGCTGCACTTGTACTCACAGAGGTTTGCAACAAGCAGTCCCACAGCCCTGCGCTGCCACCGAGCCCCCCCCGGCCGCCGCTCCGCTCCCCGGCGCGCCCCCGGCCGCGACCCCCGCCCCGAAGCGCTGGAGGAGACAAACCCGGCGTCCCGGCGGCGGGCTCGGCCCCCTTGTTTGTGGCTCTCAGATCCATCATGGCTTCCCCCTGCCTTTCTGCCTCCCTGCTCCTTGTGTTCCTCCTCCCTGTGGCTGCCCTGTTTATATAGAGCTATTGCCGCTCTCTAATATAGACTCTGCTAGGATGGGAAGGTGCTTTCCAGCCCCACGTCACCGCCTCTCCATTTAAACACCACATCAGCCTTTAAATAGGGAGCGAGCCGCGGAGCGCGGGCTGGGAGGTGCATGCGTCCGCGACGGAGGCTGGGAGACGGGCGGCTTGTCCCTCGGATCCCGAACGGCCTTTTCCACCGCTTTCTTTTCCCTCCGCGCCTCTCGACCCCGTCGTCACCGGCCTGCGGGGCGGTGGTGCTTTCTGCCAGCTCCGGCGCGGGCGGGGGTGTCTCCCAGCCGGTGTAAATGGCCTTTCATTTGCTTCTACGCATTGTACAAAGACAGTTTTCATCCCCTCCAGCATTTGAATATGTTTACCTTTTTCGTTTTTTTTCTTCTTTGTTCGTTTTTGAGTTTTAGTCGTTTGGTTTTTTTGTCTTTTTTTTTTTTTTTTCAATAGCACGCAGCTTGCACACGTTCCAGTGCTCCTGTAAGGTCTTCGAAGTAGCTTTTCTGCTGCGTGGGGAAAGTAGTGTTTAAACGATTCTTACCCAACATATCAAGGAGAAATGTAGTACTTTATGGCACTTTGCCAAGGTCTGACTACAACTGTCATCCCAAAAGTGATGTTAATATTAGAGTTTTGTGTATGGGTCATGGGCTGCAGATATTCAATGATTTATGTACGTTTCTAATAACTAATGTGTACTAATATTTTATTACAGTCCCGGCACAGCAGAGGTTTTAGAATTTTTACTAACACTTGGTTTCATTACAATATTTGGTATACTGCAGAATATTATACAAAAGAAAATGCAAAGCATCCTAGTTTTCTTTTCCAAATCTGAAATTTTACAGATTTACCTGTCAGTTAGGGTCATGCAACTGCAAAGAAACATCTTTGCTTTGATATTTTGTCGGCTTTTGTATCAGAAAATTTTAGGAAAGTAGTCAGCTGTTACACAGAGGGCAGTTACTCAGTAGGATGCATACTGAATACGTGTGATCTGAATCTGTTATTTGTCCTTCTGTTTATAAGCTTCTGGCTTAATTTTTTTATTGCAAGAAAGACTTGTTTCTGTGTAGTAAATTAGAGCGTTTGCTTCTGTTTCTTGACCATGTTAATACTCAATAGCAAAAAATATGTTGCATAATCTCCAGAGTACTTGTAAATGTCTTTGACTCAACAATTTACTAAGACTTGCTTCCTCTGGGCTGTATTTCTGTACTGTCCTAAATTCTTTAAAGTTCTCTTGAAAGGTGTCAGTGTTTGAACATTGTGTTTGGATTAGCAAAAACCAAGTTTAAAATGAACCTGCTTCAAATAGGTATGCTTTAGGCTAATTTTCAGTTAAGTAGTAAAACCTTGCAATGGTGCATGGTCAACTTTATTAGTTGAATCAAATTTAGGTCTCATGCAATGGCAAAGATCACACTGCTTGCCCCAAGGGTTGCCAAAGATGAATGGGAGCATTTTGAAATGCTGCAGCCAAGTGACTTTAGGAAGCTGGACTTGGAGCCCGATATGTCAATAGCATCACTTAAACGTCTAGTCAAATCTGAATTGCTAGAAATCTGTTCTCCCTGGTAGAGAACAAGTATAAGATGTTAACAGTTATATGCAGTATCAGATTTTGCAGGTGACAAAAGGAATTTTCTTGTAAAAGTCCACGATAACATAAAAAAACCTCAGATTGTAGTGTTCGCAGTGTAGATATATACGTATTACTTCTTTCTGTGCACATCTTTGATGTAATTGTGACTAGTTACCTTTACAGTGTACTCTTCTAGCTGCATATGGCCAGCTTACAGTAGTAATTACATGGTTGGGAGAGAGCTGCAGAAGCAATCAGGAGCAAAGTGCTGTCAAATGCACAAAGCATGCTGTGGTATATATGTCTCCATAACATGTTGGTGATTGGAAACCCAAACTGCTGAAATCCCAAGTGTTGTGATAATAATTACAAAGAATTGCAGTTTTTGTACCCTTGAAATGGAAGGAATGTAGGAAGTGTAAGCCCCCAAAGGCATGTGGTGTTTCTTAAAATAGCTTGCTGCTTGCTCCTCAGTTTGGAGTGTGTGTGCGTGTGTAGCAGTCTCGCCATACTCAGAGTTTTCTTTACAAGATGCACAGGGAAAGTGAAATATAATCATTTCCTTATGTTCCCAGAGGGGGAAATACTAGATTTCAAATCTCTTCTGTGTGTTTGTGGTTGTATCTAATAAATCAAGAATTTTAATTGTTGTCTTTTATCTGTAGTAAGTGTTTGGAATAGTGTTTATTGAAGAGTGATTTGAGTATTTTGCTCTTAAAAGAGCTTGAAGTTTACAGCAATGTACTCTTTATGAGGGAGGCACTTTAATATAAACCAGATGAAAACATGATTATTGTAATAGCAGTCTTTAAAGTCTCCATTTGTTCTCATTACTTTCTCTGACTTGAATGCGGAAATTTATTGGAAAGCTCACCTGCTATCCCATCTTTAGACTTATTCAGTAATTGTATTACCATGTTTATGTTTTAGTAAGCAGTGTATGAAAATAACTTTGTCATTCAACTCCAGAGTCTTAGATGGTTTATATAAACAGCTTGAGCATCATATAAATAATGCTTAAAGCCAACACTTGGTGTGTATCTAAAGCAATACAGTGTGCTTCCTTTTAAAGACTGGAGCTTAAGGCTGTTTTGTAATTTTACCAGGTATGCCTCTTTTGAGATAGGAAAAGAGTGTTCTGTGATACTCTTCAAAATTCCACTGTGAACGTTTCTTTAAGGTGTTACTACTCCCACTGTGGAAGATGTTGCATCCACCTGGGCTGGGTGCTTAGCTGGAGTGTACAAAAGAGAATGTTTTCAACCAGACAGGATTTTTCTGGGTATTATGTGAACGTGTATAGGTAAAATCAGAGACTGTTTAATTATAAGCATGCAGATACTTTCTTCTCCCTTCCATTCCCTCTAATCATGTAGCCATGGGAGTATCATGATCAGAGCAGCATCTGAAAATTCTGAACCATGTTTAGATCCAGTGCACTGCATGACTAATGCAGAGAAATACAAGCATGTACAAACTGCTTGCGGGCTTGTTAACATGCATGGCTGTTGTGTTTTGGGGGACTTACCTGTTTGCTTTGGCTGTTGGAAGTAGTGGAGAAGGATGCTGTGTCAACAATGGCAGAGTGAACCTCTGCTCTTAACCTCTCTGCTGTCTTGCTAAGTGAATGCTGAACACTACAAACCCCTATCTGCTTAAATTTGTTTTTTCTCTTATTACACAGGATAAAAAAGAAATTCCCAAGCAGACTGTTGGGCTGTAAAGTCAGTTTGTTGTATCTGAATGTTGATATCTTTTTTATGGGGCTTTACAGACTCAGGAGGCTTTGTGAATAAACCTTACCAAAATGCCTGACTCTGGAGAATAGGAGGAGGTATCTACTGGTGGAAATTATTAGGGCCTGTTTGTGTAAAATCTGCTTTATTAGAAAAGTGGACCTAATAAGTGATTTAAGGAGAGAAGGATTAAAGGAGAAAATGTGGTCTCCATCCTGCAGGAATTTTTATTGTAATTTCAGGCATACAGGTATTCCTGTTGATTTAAGTAAAGTAACTCATGTGCCCGAGGTTAAGCATGTTTATTTGCAGAGTGTGGTTTTGGCATTAAAGAACAGATGCTTTTAATATAATAAGGAGCAATATATGGAATAGGTTAAGTAGTATTTCTGTGCTAGTTGAATCGCATAAGCTTTATGCAATTTGTTTAATTATAGAAATAATAGGACTTAATGTTATTAAGTAGAATGTCTTTCTGCATCTGTTATGAATTAAATCTAAGTGGAAAAATAATCCTGTTAATGGTGCTTGGTATTTCGAAGTTACTCACTACACAGATTTAAAATACTAGCACTCAAAAGTAGTCTGGCTTTGGAAGTCTGTTTCAATGTCTATAAGCACAGTTAATGCAGTATTTGAAGCCTGGATAAGTGAGCATGCAGTATGGCATGTTTTCTCTCTTTTGGAGGAGTTAAATTTGGGACATAGGTGCTGTAAATGTAGAAATGTAATTGTCAAGGATGGCAATCTTACACCGTTACTTGAAGCCTGAATTTAATTTTTTTTTGTGTGACAAGTAACAGAAGGATGAATTCTAGCATTTCAGTTACTTGATTTGCAGCAGCATGTTTTAAAACTGCAAAGTGATCAGTAGCATAAAGTGGTATGTTGAGTTTTGTTGGGTTCTTTTCTTTTTCTGTGGTGGTTTTTTGTGGGTTTTTTGAGGGGGTGGACACTGGCAAAGGTTTGTAAGAAAATCCCTTGATTTGTTTTAAACAGTAAGGACATAATACACTAATCAACCTCCAGACTGCTTAGTTCCAGGTTCCAAATATGGGGTTTTATCCCCTTACAGTCTCAGTGCATTTCTTTAAAGTTTTTTGTTTTGTTTTTGGTTTCTTCCACACATTTTAAAGCAAAGATATTCAACTTCTTTTTTGTGCTTATTGACCGCTCAGCTTTTTCCTGGACTAGTAAATTATGTGCTGCTATTCTCCCTTTATTCCGTAACTTAGGCATAGCAGTTCCATAATGTGTGCAGTATAATCTTGAGCATGTCTGCAACAAATTCAGCACTTCTGGAATGCATTAAACAACTGTACATGCATAAAATAAATGTTTCAAGTGCATGCAGTAAATTTGCGTAGTTCAGCACCTCTGGACTAAATGCTTGTTGCAGGTTTCCTGTATGTACTTTGGAGGCACAGCTTTTCTGGGGTGCCAAACCCACTACACCAGTACAGGATGATTGTTTTGCATGTGTACAATGTATCTGATGTGTGTGTGGCATCATTAGGGATTTAAGAAAGGAAGTTAGGGAATGAGGTTGAAGAGGATGTCAGTTTAGAGAAAGTTGTGGCTACTTTCAGATTAATTTAAAATTGGTGTATGCCCAGCCCAAGGAGCAGCCTTGGTCAGTGACGTACATATGGTCCACAGGCTGCAGATTGATCACCCCTAATTTAGAGCTCACATTGCTACCTTGCAATTAGATAGCACAGATATTTAAACCCAGCCAAAATCCCGTTGAGGTTCTTACACAGGAAGAGACATCCAGGCTGTATTGTTTAAAAGGTACAGCATGTGCACAATACAATTTTGAACTGTGATCAGTTTAAGTGTTCACATTCTGTTTTAAATGGTACCTTCATTTTAAAATTCACAAAATGGCTGAAGTTGGAAGGGACCTTTGCAACCTTCTTGCAACCTCCTCGCACAAGCAGGGCCTCCTAGAGCTCATTGCCCAGAACGATGTCCAGATAGCTTTTGAGTATATACAGGAATGGAGGCTCCAGAACTTCTTTTGGCAACTTAAAGTGAACTGACAATTCACTTTATCTTCAATAGTTTAGGCATGAAATCAGTGTAATAGAATAATAACGTATTTGTAGTGCTTTCCCATGAAAAATTTGTAACGTAAAAGCATAACTACCGATTGAAAACAGAAGTCTGTCTAGCCTAATATCCTGTCTGCAAGAGTTTTTGTAAACAGATGTGTAAGGAAGAACAGGACATTCACATGAATGCTTTCAGATTTTTGGGCCTTCAGTGGTTTTCAGCTCAAGATCGTTCTGAGCCGGATTTGGTACCTGTTAAACGAACAAACTCTAACAAGTTTTTTGTCTGTATTTGTCTAATATATTTTTAAACTGTTAATGTTCTTTGATGTATTTTTGCATATTCAGCATCTACATTTGCAAGCAGAAAACAAATTGATTGAATGGAAAACAGTCTTTTCTCTTTTGAATTATACTCCTTATGGCTTGGTAACACTTGTGCTGTAGTTATATCACAAGAGGTCATGAGTAATCCCTTCCTTTTTCGCCTTGTTTGAACTGTTCTTGCTTATTTATACCTCCTTGGATATTTTAGTCACTTGGAAAGATGCAGTGTATTCTGTAATGCAGTTTTCAGAATTTTTTTATGTGAGGTAATCTTATTTTAAAGTGATAAATTTCTTCCAAAACAGTGCTGACTAGTTATTGTTTTTTTTAAAGCCTAAATTGTACAGGTCTGTTATTGAAGATGTCATCAATGATGTCAGAGAAGTTTTTCTGGATGAAGGAGTGGATGAACAGGTTCTAATGGAACTCAAAACTGTAAGTTGCAACTTTAAAGTTCTTTTTAATAGACTAATACAGCAATTAATTTCCAAATCTGGTTACTGTGGTACACAGTAGAAATACTAGTTTTTAGGTAATTAAGCATTTTATTAATCTGCATATCTGTAGTCCCATATCATTTGAATTACACTGTCGTATAGAGAGGTTTGCTCACCTTGTTTACTTCCCCTAATCTGACAACAGCAGGCATCTGAATTCAGTGTTATTTTGGTTCCCAAAACATTAGATCTTTAAAAAAGGGAAAAATGTTTATTTTAGAGACAGCTCTTAATGTTTCTCTGCAGGAAAAAAAAAAGTCTACTCTGCTTGATGTTTTTGTCTTTCTGAAGAAGAAAAGTTGCATTGTTGGACGCATTGTCAGATTTTTGCATGTATGGTTTGTGGTTTGCAGAAATCTTGTCTTTTGGCAGGTGGTACGTAATAAATCGCACTGTATTCATCACACTTTTCTCAATCTCTTGGATTCAGAATTTTTACGCAGAGTGGGGTTGAGCTGTTATCAAGAGTCCAAAATAAAGGCAGGGTGTTAAGCTGAGCTAATGGGTCTTCTATGGCTTTCTTCAAATTCTTCCTGACTAAAAGAAGCCATTCAAAGGGGAAGGGAAAAGATGGGGGGGAAAAGGCAAAACAAACCCAACCAAACAAAAGAAATAAAGTAAAAGAAAAGTGGGAAAGTAGGTCTTGTTTGTCTAGGCTTCTTCAGAGAGTGTTGTGTCCCACACTCATAGTATTTTTGAAGCATTAAAAAAATGGATGGAAAAGGAAACAAATTTTGAGTTTGACTAGAGAGAAACAGGTAAAGATTTTTTTCCCATGAGACCATGACCTGTCCTGATGGTAGCGCAGTGAGCACTATAAAAAAATCACTTTGGTGTTTGTGACATGGTTGTGTTCTGCAAATGATGTCACAAAAGATTAATGAGGAAAGAGACAAGAAGGAAAATGAAGTATTGAAGGGGAAGGGAGCTCGAAGCAGACTTGGAAATCATTAGTCCTGGGTGCCTGTAGTCTTTTTGACTCTGTATTAGAAATAATTGCATTGCTGTCTTTTTGCAAGAACTGCTTTTTTGCATCTGTGACTGTCCTTTGGAGACATGTCAGCTGACATAAAGAACTGTGGGGCTGGAGAAGCTGAACTTGATATTGTGGTAGAAACTGTATAAATGCTTGTAGAGAGGCAGTATCTTAGGTATGTGGGTAGTTTCTGTTGAAATGTGTTACAAGGCAGTAATTTTTAAGCAGCTTTTATTGAAGAGTTCCAAGAAGAAATGTCTTGAGGAAAACTGTAATAAGGAATTATTTTTGTGGTTATAGAGGTGAGAAAGAAAGAATGTAGGGAGGTGGAAAACTTAAAGGCTTATTTAAAGTTACCAGCTCTATTTGTGCTTCTATTAGGGTTGTTATGAATCTTCCACACGTGGAAAAAATAAAGAATGTAAAAGCTTCTCCTTGGACTGACAAGGGATATTTAATTCATGTTCTTAAAACGATTACCTCTGTGGAGTTATCTCTCCCGTCTATATTTGCCTAAAGGCTTTTTGAGCTAAGTAGACTGCACAAAATAAACAGTGAAAACAAATTCAATTTTGGATTACTGTCATTATGTTGTTACAAGTCCTGTTGAGTAAAAATTGTACACAGACAGTTCTCTTTCCTTTTCCAAACTAGCTATGGGAGAACAAGCTGATGCAGTCCAAGGCTGTAGATGGCTTCCATTCAGAAGAGCAGCAGCTTTTACTGCAGGTGCAACAGCAGCAACAGCAGCAGCAGCAACAGCAGCATCATCACCACCACCATCACACACAACCTCAGCCACAGCAAACTGTGCAGCAGCAGTCTCAACCACAACAGGTCCTTATTCCAGCGTCTCAGCAAGGTCAGACTTAATCTCTAAACTCTCTGGCAAAAGATTATGAAGTTAGTCCAACTCCTTAACATATTCTAAATCTAGGGCAGGATGGAAACCTTTTAGTCTTTCTACTTGCCTCTATTTAATGGGTCAAGAGAGCTGTCTTGGTATTTGTTTTAAGTCATATTCTTTAAAAGATTTTGGAGAAGCTGAATTCTCTTGGTCTCCTGCAACGTAACATGTTTTCAGAACACAACTTTCAAAATTCCATTAGCAGCTCTAAGTTCAAGCTAATATATGTGTGCAATTGACAGTTTAGTCATGAGGTTAAAAAGTTGTTAGGAGCAAATTATTTCAAAAAACCCATTGTTTAGCATAACTCAGTACTAGGACATGAACAACACTTGTATAATAGTCTGAGTATGTAGGTATTTTTGTGGTTTTAGAAAATTGCACATTGTGTAGATGTGGATGTTTAAGGTGTATTTTAGGTAACCATAATATCGTTTCTTGTAATTACTGTCTTGTGTATTTCTCTTTACATGGAGCCCCTGGTGGTCTAGTGGTAAAGGTGCGGTGCTGTCACCGCCGAGACCCGGGTTCGATTCCCGGTCAGGGCCACTCCCGGGCAGATGGAGCTCATTAGCCCTTAAAGGCAACCCACCTACGTCCTAAGGACCTCGCTGCCACCGTCCAAGCTCGCTTGGCCCCGGCAGATGAACCTTAGGATTAAAGGGTGGGCTCAGTTCCGCGCACACTGTGTCTCACCTAAAAAATCCAATGCGCAGGCTGGAAGGTGTAAAGACCTTCCCCGGATCTTCGCTCGTGAAGACTGGCCATTATTATTATTATTATTATATATTATTATTATTTCTCTTTAATAATTTAAGGAAATTTTTTTCAGCAATTATAATTTAATTTGAAAAATAATAAATATTACTGGATTTAACTGTAGATATGCTGAGTAAACAAATCTGCCACCTGTGAAAGGCTTGAGTTTTCCAGTGTATTAAGTTTATGGCATAAAATATTTTTCTGTGGTAGTCACAGACTTCAGTCTTTTTATCAGATTTCATAGATCAGAGAACCTATGTTGTCATAAGCACAAACGATAGATACGAGTTGATTTCTCTCCCTTCCCTTCCAAAAACCAACCAAAACCCAACCACCATATATATTCAACAGAGAATAGAACTAATGTGACTAGAACTAGTTCTTGTGGCATTTTTTTACCATGGTGTGGGGGTTTTTTGTGGTTGGTTTTGGACACTTTTTTTGGGGGGAGAGAGGGTTGATAGCTTGTTTTCTTCTTATAGTACTTCGTGTTTTGGCTACACATGAATGTTTTGAGTGTTGGGATAAAATTAATTTTGAGATTAAGACCCCTAAATAAATACCTGTGGTTCCAAGGGCTCTCCACTGTCCTGCCGGGAGGACAGGCAGAGCCTGAAGCAGCTGCTCACCGCTCCCTCTGGTGGCCCCTTCGCGGAGGAGCCACGACTCAGCCGGCTTGGGTTCCCTGCACTGACGGGGAGGCCCCCGTGCTCCTGGGGGTATTCTTAGAGTACAGTGAGATCCTACCTATAGTAACACATCCAAAGCTGATTTATTGTTGCCACGATCAAATGACAGTGTGGAGACTAAATGAAATTAGGATATCAAAGCACTTTAATCCCAGACACGCAGTTTTATGAATTACTTGACTTCCCTGTTCCATGGTAGAAATGGTATAGTAGTTCCTTGCATGACCTGGTGCAGTCACAGGGAGAGATCAGAATGATCATCATGGTGATTCCTACTGTCCTTTGTGTGGTCCTGGCATAGGTTCATGAGTTTTTGTTAAGCTCTTTTGCCTTCCTTGGGTTCCCTGAAACTTGGAGACATGCCCTCAGATCTTGGTGCAAGGTTACAGGGCTTCCCACCCCAGAATCTTGTCCAGAAACTGTTACTCCTAGTATTCTTAAGTGTCCATTGTTAGAGGATTGGATGGAGAATAGCTTGTCAGGGATTAATTCATTCAAATTACTGTGTCATTTTTTGCTTTACAATCATAGCTAATAGCAGCAGCAACCTGCTTGTTCCATAGGCTTGGACACTTGTTTGTCTGGATGATCAACATGTTGTTTGTATAGTTTAGCTCTCTGTTTCCCTTAGCACACCAAAACTGCTTTGTTGTGTGGGACAGGTAGTTGATCGCGTTTCATCTGCTTCTGCTACATGAGGAAGACAGTGAAGATCATGAGCTAACAGCTATGCTAACTGCAGCATCCTGGTACTCTTCATCTTGCAACAGTCCTTGCTTAAGTCTGTTTTAAGAGTTAACTATTTTCAGTTGATGTTTTTGAAGTACTCTGATATTGGACATCATTGAGTTTATCAACATTTACCTTTAATTTCAGAAATACATTTAAAATCTTGTTTTACTTAAATTGAGAGTAGGTAACTGATAGCCCTTGAAATAAGATCCGTAAAGGCAAAGTAGTCATATCACCTCTCAGATCTGCTGTTGTATATTGTCTTGAGAGTAAAACGTAATAAGGTCAGAGATTGCTTAGTAGTTGTTTTTGTAATGAAGCTCAGTTGATGTTTGGGTGATGTTCTTTCTAAGTTACTCTGGCTTGGATGTTATTTTGGGCAGACTGTGTATTTTTCATTAAATACTGTTTTTTGTTTCTAGCACCTCAGCAGCAGGTTATTGTGCCAGATTCCAAGCTGATACCACACATGAATGCATCAGGCATGGTAAGAGAAGCAGAAGTTTATACAGGCATACATTGTCACTTTTTAAGTTGTTTTGAGTAAATAATAAACACAAATCTGGTATTAGTCATCATAGGCTTCTAAGTAATTTAGGACACACTACTAAAACTATCTACCATATATGAGTTTTGTGGCTGCACTGACAACCTAGGATAAGTAGTAATCCATGATTTCAATTCTGATAACAAATCTAGGACTTACCTTTAACCTCTGCTGTAAATGTGTTTAACCAAAACATTTTTTTTAATTGGAAATTGGAGTACTGTTGGTATGCATGATATTCTCTTAACACACCACCACTGACTAATGCAGGCATATTGTATGTAGTAGATGCAGGAAAAAGCAGTGACTATTCTGAAATTTAAGTTTATCTCAAATGAGATGATTTAGCATTTCATATAGATCTTTGCTGGTCACATTAATTTGATTCACTAATTTTGTAGCAGTATATAAAATTGAGTCTGGTCATCTACCCTTTTCTTGCAGTTTGTATCTTTAGAGATTAATTTTGATTATCTTCTCTTGCTTTAAATGCCTTGGCTTCAATAAAAGGAAAATAAATTGTTTACAAAGCCATAAGAAGAACAGCTAATACAAGTGAAATATGTGTATTAAGACCAGAATTCATTACATTCTTACCAGTTCTGTAGTAGAAGCCCATGAAACAAAATTTCATGATGCAACAAGTTTTCAAGTCCAACAACTTGCTTAACCTTCACTTCTCCATTATCTGTTGATCTTGCTACAGAAAAGAACCTGAACTCTGTTACTTGAATAGCCTGATGTACCCAGAGACTGAGAGCACATAAACATCCATGTTTTTCTTTTCTAGTGTTACAACCATTACAATGGGATTTGTAACTTTCCAAGTCCAACACTAAAATACTTTTTTTCCTGTCTCAATTAGATCTTGTTGATGTGTATTGCAAAAATGATTATGCCAAGCTTTTTAAACTCTACTGCTGTCAAAATGTGGCTGAATTGTATACCACAGAGGACTACTGTTCAGCAAATAGTCACAATCAATTTGGAAATATTGTTTGTGTTTATTAGAAACATTTAAGTTGATATAAAAGAGTGGATCTGACAGACCTTGAATATCTTTGAAGGCAGAAAATAATGGAGTTTATTTATCTACCTCTGTCTGGAATGGAGGATGCATACAAGCACATTTCAGTTTTGCTTGGTGATCTCTAATCTTGGCAGTTGTAACTACTATATTGACCAGCCAGTACAGGAAGATCCTGTTTCTTTTAAACAGGACGAATGCACTCTACCCAGTAATAAAGTTTAAATCCTTTCAGTACCAAAGAGTAATCAGCTATGGTTCTCTTATAAAGAGAGGCTTTTCCATAGGCAGCTGAAGTTAGACCCTTGAAATGGAGAGGCCTCTGGAGAAGTCCATTGCCTTCTGCAAGTTAAGGACTTAAAGCAGATTGTTGTGTTTGGAGCTCCCATAATTGTGTTGGAATTCAGTTTTCTTGCAGGTTCAAATCATTACCCATTGAAAGTCTTTCTCTTCAAACCAACTGTCTTGAGAGAAAAATTAGTCATTCTGTGAACAGTCAATACACAGTATGCGTGTATTCACTCAAAAGAGCTATGTTATATGGGACTTGAAATGCAAATCACTTACAGGATGAAGAAAAGTGCAAACCTGATTACTGCTCCTTGTGAAAATGTGACAGGCAAACATAATCATTGCTTCAGTATCTTACATTTCTTCAGAATTTTAGACCCATATCCTTGGCTGTGCTGAAAAAGTGTAACTACGATTGCCATGTGAGCCATTCAGTGTTGTACTGTATTAGTAGATTAACAGAGAAGGCAAAGGAGAAGGAAAAAAAAAATCTGCTGAGCTTGCAGATAAACTAAGAAACCACATGGAGTTTGTGTTAGGATGTGATACTTAGTGATTTTTTTTTTCCCAGCCTTCCTCCTATTAACAAAGAAGGAAAACGATTTTTATAATTAGTATAATGTATGCTAGAAACTTGCGTGCCAACATTGTAAACAGCAATAAAATGGTACAAGCAGTATGTTGTGAGATGAAACATTGGCAATAATGTTTGTGGTTAAAAGGTTTTCTTGTATTTCAGAGTGCTGCAGCTACTGCAGCTACATTGGCTCTCCCTGCTGGTGTTACTCCAGTTCAGCAGATACTTACAAATTCAGGTAAAATTGAGAACAAACAATAGTTTAGAGGGTGCTTGGGAGGGAGAAAATCTGGGGTTTGCTCTGTTATTTACTGTTAAAAATCAGGGAATCCACCCTTACAAGGTAGTGCAGTCTCTACTTGACTCCTGCACTCTTTTGCTCTCTGACTTTGTTATGAACCTTGTGGTTCTGTCCTAACAGTGGCTTGGGTAAGATTCTGTGCAAGTTTTCCCCACTTCTTAGAGAAGCTTATGAAGCACAAGGACAGGTGTTGCTGTCTCTCCCCTTTGTGTATTTCTGAGCTTTGTGTTGCATGATACTAGGCTGGGTATAAAAGCAGGATCATCTTATCTGTGACATCAGGTGAGGAATGTCTTAAGGTTTCTTGTATCTGCTAAAAACACAAAGTGGGATTTTTAACTTTGCTAGCAATGCTGATTTTATTTCATTTCGTGTTTATAATTTCTAACTACTGTTACGCCATACATTTAGAATATAATTAAGTGTTACTTGAAGCAGCATATCTGGTACTTCATATAGTTTTGTATTATGCTCATTTTACAAACCTGATTGTAGATCTGTTCTGCATGGAAAGTAAAGAAAGGCCCAAGAAAGTTCATTTTTTAGATCTAGTTGCTGCTTTTGCCAGAGTAATTCATCTAGTCTGCTCAGAATCGCCTGGGACTTAACCTCACTGCTGTAAACTCTTTAATGTTTAATGGTATATAGTTGAAATAAAATTTAAATGTGTAGCTTGTCTAAAAATTAAAATCTTTTAAATTTTAAGAAAGCACATCTGTTTGTTGTAACAGAATAATCTGCAGCTTGCATTTGTTACTTTTTTGAGTCATAATTATTTTTCTTCAGTTTTAAATATTTTTAGAATTTTCTTAAAGGAGCTAAGGTAGTACCATCTTTCAGATATACTTAACTATTTCAGTAAAGGGGGCTTTGCATTTTACTCTGGAGGGAGAACAGGAAATCTGTCTCTGAAGGAAATGTGTAATGTTCAGGATTATGTAATTTAATATCCTTTCTTATTTCACCTTTCTCATTAGAAATGTGGAAAACTAATGTTGGAATGTATCTTAGCTCTTTTCAGAATTGCAGGCTATTCTCAAAGGTGTGTGTGTCTTGGATGTATTTTGTGAAGTAATGAAGGGTAATAAAGCTAAAGGATAATGAAGGGTAATCAGGTACAGGTATTATGGGAACAGAAAGGAGAAGTGGACAAGAAGTGTAAGGAGATTATTTTTTTCAAAAAGTGACTGCATGTTAATACCGCAAAGAAAGTTATACACAGAGTAATTTTTTGAAATGTGATTGGAAGGAAAAATTCTGAGGAAAGGACATCATCTTAAAGGACCCTGGAAATATTTTGGCATTAGCAGTGGATAGAATTTTTGCATTGTGAATACCTGTGCATTCCTATTTTTGTTTGATTTGTCTTTCTAGCTGTGAAATCTATCTTTTGAAACTTGAGGTATGCTTATAGTGGGAACTTTTATTTAAAATACTGTGCTAAAGGATTAGACTGTGACTTGCAAAAGTAAATGCATTTTTGGATTGCATACCTCATGATCGTATTTAAATGGTAAACAACCCTATTCTTTATTTCTGGCACAGTTACTATAGCATAATATCTTTTCACTGATGAAAGTGCAGCATTTTAATGTTTCTCTCCTTTAATTGTCATTCTTCCAGGAAACAAGCTTTTAGACTAAGATAATTTAAAAAGTGAACTTGTACATTTGATTAATTTGATATTTATTTTACTACAGGTCAGATCCTCCAAGTAGTTAGAACTGCAAATGGAGCTCAGTATATAATTCAGCCACAGCAGCCAGTTGTTCTACAGCAGCAGGTCATACCGCAAATGCAGCCTGGGGGAGTACAAGCACCTGTTATTCAGCAGGTAAAGGAAAATCTATGAAAAGGCACACTTGAAAGAAAAAAAACATAATAGCAATTATTTTAAAGGCTTGCATTTTTAAGAGCAAACTGAAATAGAACACCAAGTCAGAAATGGTATATTTTAAAAAAAAAAGTTAAGTGTGGTGTTGATTTTTTTTGTGTTTGGTTAGTTTGTTTTTAACTGACCCATTTTGAAATGTTGTTTTCAATGTCACTTTTATTCTTGCCAAATACTGACTGGCTGCAGATTAAAATTTCTCTTGGGCATCTCCTGAAGACAATTATATAAATATATCCTAGTCTACTTACTATATGTAAAAATGTGATTATTGGTTAAAATTATTCTAAGTCCCATAACATACAAAAGAAAATACCTAGAATTTACAATTTAAGTTATGTATTTGAGATAGGTGGAATATTTGTAACTGTTTTTAATCAGTTAAATTGATATGCTTTGATTGTTTCTTTGATTAAGTCATGCGGTCATCTGTCATGTTAGCAGCCACAGTACTTGCAATGATATTCCGTCAGGTCTTGGCTCCTCTCCCTGGAGGGATTTCCCAGCAGACAGGAGTGATTATTCAGCCTCAGCAGATCCTGTTTACAGGAAATAAAACACAAGTCATACCTACAACAGTGGCTGCTCCTACACCAGCTCAAGCACAGATACCTGCAGCTGGTCAGCAGCAACCACAGCAACAACAGGCACAACCACAAGCACCACTTGTTCTCCAAGTTGATGGAGCAGGGGACACATCATCTGAAGAAGAAGAAGATGAGGAAGAAGACTATGACGATGATGAAGAGGAAGACAAAGAAAAAGATGGAGGTGAAGATGGCCAAGTTGAAGAGGTAAACTTATTTCAGTTATTTCAGAAGACTAGAGCACAGTTGTGTTTCATTTAATTTTTTTTTGGTCAACATTTTAAAGGAAACTGCTTTGAATAATACTATATTTCAATAATTTTGAGAATATAACTTTTATCCTTGTACTTAAGGTTCTTTATTTCCCATATTGATGTTCTGAAAGTGGTGTGTATTAGCAAAGCACCTTGAAATGCAACTGAGGAAGTCAGAGGGACTGTGAGCTGTCACAGATGCCATTTTAAAAACTTTATCAGTAATATTTTTTCATTTCATGGAGAGGTCAGTCATTAAGTTATGAAACCTGCATGAGCAAACAGAAACAGTCAACTCCACTTGGGACTGAGTGCATATAAAAACAAGGTGTTAAGGAGATGGACGGAAAGGAGAGCATATATTTAATTCACTGAGGGGACCAACAAATACAGTCTGACCTGCATCTCACTGGCTATTCCATTGCATTCAGTTACACTAGAACAAGCTTAAGAACTCAAATTTGATTATAAAGCACCTTCTAGAAACACATCTGACCTTGATTTAATAAAATTAGGAGATAGGAGCAGGAATGAATTGTTGCATTCTTAATATATGCTTAATTTAGACTTTGAATTTGCTTGGTTTTGGACTTCAGCCCGTGGTTCTTAAAAAGTGTGTTGCACCAAAAAGCTTCACAAGAATAAGAAATCTTATAAAAAGGGGTAGGGGGCAGGCAGATACTATTAAGTTAAAAGTGCTGATATTTAATCTCTGACAGGAAGCTTGACACTCCCTAAATCTATCCCTAAAATGCATTTTGAACTGTCAGATATCTTCCAAAGTTTTCTACAACTTTTACAATTATTTTCAGATTCCATTTAAAGTACCAGTATGAGCAGAATTTCACATTCACCCATGCAGGATACTCAGGTCAAACTTGTAAGTTTATCAAGGAGTTAAATCAGGTGTTCTGTAGTATATTTACAGTGGTGTCTTAATGCTATTTTTCTGTTAGAAATTACAGCTTGGGTTCACACCACTTTTCCGTTATATTGATCAGCACTGATGTCAGTTTGAATGTTTTAATAGTTGCCTTATAGATCATCATGCTTAAGTACTAAGTGTTCTTTAATGCTTAATACTAGCTTCCTTGAGGAAATTTTTTTATATGCCGGGATTTCATTATCAGGATGCCAGAGATTTGTTATTTTTACTTCCTTTGCTCATCAGCAGCTACTTTGAGTGGACTGGTTACTTAAAGCTTTTGAAGTCAGTTAAGCATAGCATTACTTTGAAAGGAATTAGGACCTCTAGAACACGTTCTCTCACTAATGTTTCCTCTGTTTAGCTTATGTACTTGGGAATAGGTGGGGAAGATGAGGATTGAACAGCAGACTTGTTGCTCTGCGTTTATTAGAGGTTGTTTTAGCTTTTGCAGTGTTTGTTATTTACAAACACTGTGGGATGAAAAAATCCCACTACATTTCTGCTGGAATAGTGTGTTAGCTGAAAGAAAAAGTAAAATTAACTTTTAAGGACACAAAAATACATTCTAGAAGACGTGGAGAAGTTATTTTTGTATGGGTCTATGCAAGATCATATTAAAGCATTTCCCCCCTCCTTGTAAAAACTTCCTGTATATATTGAAGTCTGTTTTCATTTGTGGTACATAAAATGTGAATAAGCCATGGAGTCTCTATTTTTAAGGACATGTAGGGAATGATGTTACTAACATCACCTTTCCACTGCTTAGATGCTTTAGGAAAATAAAAATCTGCATACTTTTTTTAAAGAAATCTTGCAAACATCAGGAGCAAGAATGATTGTGACAGAAGGCTACAGTGCTCAGAATCTGGGCTGGATACTGAAGTCCCAGACTAAAACTGGTAATCTTTTTAGGAATAAAGGTAGGAAGGAAATTTACGTACCTCAGCACTCTACTGGAAAGCCTAATAGTCCCCACCTCAAATCTGTATTAGGTCCTGTAGTTCATAGACAAGACTGTAGCTTCATGTAACAGTTCTGTAGTCAAAGTAGGAGCTCTTATCTTGCTAAACATCTTTGCATGTGTTTGTTTCAGGAACCTCTGAACAGTGAAGATGATGTGAGTGATGAGGATGGACAAGAACTGTTTGATACAGAAAATGTTGTTGTGTGCCAGTATGATAAGGTAATCTCCACAAAACATAATCCAAAAGTTCTATTTTCTCTGTTCTTCCTATCAAGTAATAATTTTTTAAGTAGTATCTTTGTGACTCTTAAGTACAGGTAGATCTGTAAAGATTATAATCGGAAATACAAGAATTAGCTGCTGTTTTTAAAACAAGTTTGTGTGGCATGTTTGTACTAATCTTAGAAAAAATTGACTGTTTTATTTTTCTTCATGTCTTTTTGTGCTCTTTAATGAAGAGGAGAGTCCTCTGGGCTCAGGAGAGATGAACTGTTATAACTTTGTACATTTATTGTGGCTATGAATAGAAAAAGTAGCATTAGGATTTAGACTTTGGGAAAACTGTTCCTTGATCACTAAAAATATCTCTTCTGGATGATAGAGGAGAATGCTCTTTCTGTGTTATGCATTGTGCTATACAGAATGGCAATATGGTATGTTTGTACTTGTTTTGCTTTGAAATCTGCTGAACTGTCTTACCTCCTCTGTGATTAGTAAGTTCTTGCATGTTTTCCCTGGAATATACAAGGATTCATTTGTCTGGAATTTTTTTAAATGTGTCTAGAGGATATCAGACACCTTTTGGCTGAGGTAGTATGCAGAAAGATTATTCAATGGGGATTTTCTTTCTTTTCCTATGCTAGATTAATGGGACCATAATGGATAAGGATCCTTTTTAAAGAAGAAAAAAAGCTGTAAACTAGTTGAATAAAAACTCCTATTTTGCAAAGAATGGCTGTGTTAGAAAATCTTCAGTTATGCCCAGATTCTGCTTAGATTTGCTGTCAGATTCGACTGAGAATTTAGATAGAGAAAAAGTGGCATCAGTATATAGATCCCAGCCATCTGTCTCCTCCAGACTGTAACCAAAACTGCTTGGTTTGAGGAAGTTTGTAAGGATAGTGAGGGACCTCAGAATAGCAGTCAGTAGTTCTTGTTGGGAGCTGCTGAAGCTGAGTGAAAGGAACTACTCTGAAATTCTCACCTTCTTAAGAATGGCAACTCAGGGGACAGTGTCCATCATTAACCTCCAGTGCCATAAGGACTTCATCTCTTACCTAGCAATCATTGATTTGTCTCTAAACTATACAGGATCATCTCAGATCTGAACAGAGTTCCCTCGTGCCCAGCATCCTGAATCAGCTGATGGTGGACTTCTCGAGAACTAGGAGAAAAGGGCAGAGGGGTGACAGTGCTCACGTAGAGAGCATTTTACCATCCTTCTGTATACTGTCTCTTGAGGAAGAGACAGTGGCTTCTTATCAATGACTAGCTGAGAATTTTTTCCTTTATTTGACAGAAATTATTTTGATTATGTTTGAATCCTTCAAAACTTTCTTTTGACAAGAAGTTTCATAAATGCATTGTCTGATGTATGGTGAATCACCTAGTGTTTAAACCTGTTAGTTTCATATGATACCTCTTAGTTTTAAAGAGTGTTACCTTTTTGTTTTCCTGGTGTCATTTATGATCTTGCAGACCATCATAACCCTCCTCAGTCATCTCTTTGAAATCAGAACTGTACTTTACTTTGATATTTGTGCAGGTGTCCAAACATTTAATTGTTCTTACTTTCATTCTCCAGATGTGTTTTATTTTTCTGTATCTTATTTGGTAAGGGTAGATAAGGTTGAGGGACAATCAGAGCAATCATAAAATCTTTTGTAAGTCTTCGATTTATCCAGTGGTGTCACAATGTTCTCCAGTAGTTCGTTTATGCTTTTGACCCCATTGAACATAGAACTGATGTTCTCATGGAAAAGTCTTAGAACACTGGGATCTCATTCCTGACTTTTAACTGTTAACTCAAACCCATCATTTTTATTGTCCATGTAAATTGAAATAATTTTTCTCCCTTGTTACTACCTTCATATACATTGAATGCCACCATTGTTTTATTACACAATGAATAAGGACAGTAACATTGTTCTGCAGCTCTTCAGTAACTGTTCTTTTGTATCATCAATGGCGTTTTGTCATTTGCCAGATGCTTAGTGAGTTCTTAAACTGCAGACTCCAACCAGCACAAACTTTTGCTGGAATGATCTCATTGCATTGAAAACAGTATTCTTAACCTGGTTTTCCCATTTTTAATTTAGTTATTCATTCATCTGAGGACCTTCCTTCTTACCGCATGGCGGCTAAAATACTTCTGGTTAGGTTTTTTTGTTGAATGCCATTGGGTAGGACAAATAGCATATATAAGCCAGACCTTTCCTTGTTCATTTATTTGCTGACTTTTGCTGCTGACTTTTTTTTTTCTTTAGCTTAAAATGAGAACAGACCAAGCAGTATTGCTAATAATTAATGGAGTGATATGGTCATAGCTGTGCTGGTGCTACTTTACTGTTCCTACAACACTTAGAGTAGACAGAGAGACTTCTTATACTTAATGAAAATTGCAGAAGGATTTTTTGGTTTTATGCCTCTTGTTAAGTTTTCTTAACTTTTTCTAGACAGGCTTAATTACATTTTTGTTTTGTCGGCGGAAGTTTATTGTAATCTTTCCTCTTTTGGACAACATTTTAGCTTTGTTCAATTTCTTTGAGTATCTTGTACTGCTGCTTAATTGTACTGGTAATCTTCTGCTCTTTCTGATGATGTTTTTGATAGATGTCAAGTATTTGTCTGCTCTATACTTACAGTATGTGATGGGTTTTTTGTTTTGTTGGGGTTTTTTAATCCCCCCCCCCCCCATCCCGAGTTTACTCCTTTAACTTCAGACTGAATTTTGTTCAATTTCCTTCAGTTTTAAATTAAACATACAGGTTGGACATAAGGAGGAATTTTTTCACAGGAAGGGTTGCTAAACATTGGAATGGGCTGACCAGGGAGGTGGTGAAGTCACCGTCCCTGGAGGTGTTTAAGGAAAGACTGGACAGGGCACTTAGTTCAATGATCTTCTTGACAGCGTGGTGTTCAGTCAAAGGTTGGACTCTGTCTCAAAGATCTTTCCAACCTAATTGATTCAGAGAGAAGAGTCTAAATTTACTTAGACACTGCTAGAGTGGATTTATTGACCTTTTTACCCCTGGGAAAATGTTTCTCTTGTGTAGTTTCTGTTACTTCTGGTGATAATTTGTAACTTTATCCTTGCACACTGTCTCGAAGCAAGGAAAGGATTGTGGCTCTTGTGAGTTTCTGACTTAGCTTCTTCATGAAGTAGGGCTTTACTATGCAATGTCTAAAACAGCCTCGATGCTGTTTTTTGACATAGGTGTGAGATAATTGAAGATGTTTTTTGTCTTTGTGCCTTCTCTGACCTCCTTCACCGCATTGGTCAACGGACTTCCTGTACTTGGATAATATCTGTTTGGGAATGAGCATGAAGAAAGAAGAGTTACTACTATATGAAATACTTTTGTAAAAACGACATGAATAAAGCTGTTGTTTGATTCTTTGACTTTTGCTGTGTCAACAGGAATATCCATTATAACATGAAGATTCACTATATCAAGACACCCATAATAGGGACTCTGCAGGGAGCAGGAATTGAATTAATATTGGTGTTTTTCAAGGGTTTTTTGGGGGTGTGGGTATTTTTGTTTGTTTGGGGTTTTGTTTGTTTTGGTTTAGTTTGTTTTGGTTTGGTTTTTTTTGTTTTGTTTTTTTGTGTGTGTGTTTTTGTGGGTTTGTTTGGTTTTTTTGGGTTTTTTTGTGTTCCCCGCTCCCCCCCCCCCTTCCCGAAAGTAGACACTGGAAACAAAAAAGTTGCTCAGAGATCTTGTGGATGCCTCATCCATTGAAGTGTTCAAGGCCACCTTTGATGAGGCTTTGAGCAACCTGGTTTAGTGGAGGGTGTCCCTGCAGGGGATTTGGAACTAGGTGGTCATTAAGGTCCCTTCAAACACAAACCATTTAATGTTTTGTTCGTTGGTTTTCTGTCCTAGTATTTCTTGGGCTGTTGCAATTAGTTGAACCGATCTCCCAGCTTAATCTTACAAACTTGTTTTAAACAAAGCCTTAAAGCAGCCAATATTTTAACTGGAAAGACTGTAGCTTAAAGTTAAAACTTCAGGAATCATTCCCAATGCAGGAGATACTACTTTTCTCACTTGATACTTTACAATATGAATTGGAATGTAAATAATTTAGCAGACTTGCTGTTGAAGAGTAATTTTACTGTATAAGACTACTACATATGGAATCATAGAATTCCTTAGGTTGGAAAAGACCTCTAAGATCATAAAGTCCAACTGTTAACCCAGTTGCTGCCATATCCACCTCTAAAGTATGTTTCCTAAGTGCCACATTTACTCGTCTTTTAAATCCCTTCAGGGATGGCAACTCTTGCCACTTCTTGGGGCAGTGTTCCATATTGCAATGTTTGACAATGCTTTTTGTGGAGTTTTTCCTAATATCCAATCTAAACCTCCCCTGAAGCAATTGAGGCCATTTCCCATTGCCCTATCACTTGTTACTTGGGAGAAGAGACCCCCACCTTGCTTGTGCATTTTGTACCATAGAGATGTTCAGACTGAAAACCTTGTACATGATCCACCTGCCTTTTAACCAGAGCTTAACTTTCAGAAATCCAGAGTCAAACTCTTCAGATTAGAAGTGGAATGTTAAGTAGACCTGCTACCTATATGTACAGAACCTAAACTAGTTTTCATGCAAAATAGAGGATAGATAAGAGGTCCAAATAATGACACTTAATGTTCTAGCCTTTTAGGACTGTTTTAAAACATTAGTCTTTTTGTTACAGTGGTTGAACTAAGGATTTCTAGCTTTCAAGTAGCATTTCATGGCTGTCATAATCAAAGATAATAAAAATAAAGCATCAGAGGTGGATATATCTTTATTCTTCATTTTCAGCAACCTGTAAAAATGTACCATATGCTTTGGATTTTGGAATGTCTCTGTGTTTGTATGGTTTTGTGACAGTTGCTGTCACTGATTAAGAAAAAAAAAAACAAAAAAAAACAACCAAAAAACCCTCCAAAACCCAGAAAACATTGATATATGCATAATTAGGTGTTGTTTTTCATACCTAAACACACAACTGATTTTCAACATGTTTGTAGTAACTTACTAATATACATCTAATAGTTATTTTCATTTTTTCTTGCCCTTATAATTATGCATAATCACCCATTTCTGATACAGAGTAGTAGTTCACCTTTTTCCCTCTGTTTTTAGATTCACAGAAGTAAAAACAAATGGAAATTTCATCTCAAAGATGGCATCATGAATCTTAATGGAAGAGATTATGTATTTTCCAAAGCCATTGGGGATGCAGAATGGTGAAGTTTTAAAAGACAAAACAAAAGAACTCCCTGTAAAAGGAAAAAAAATCAAAAGCAGAAAAGGCTGAGACTTGGATGTATACTCCAATCAAAATGTGTGTCTGCACATCAGAAATAAACAAAAGTATTGGAACAAAGGTAAAATGTGGCAACAAAGACACTACTTCAGATGAGCAAGCCATGGACTGTAGCAGCTATAGCATTGTCTGGGAGCTGGTTTTGTGTGTTAGGAATACCTTAATTATCAATTCTACATACAGGTACCTACAGCTGGTATTTAGCATGTAAGGCTTTGTCCCCCTCCCCCTTGATTTAAGATTTTAAAATACTTCTTCCACTGATTGAAGGAACTATTCCCTTTAATAGATTATTAATCTGAAAATGCTTATTGTGTGTACAAATCTTTGCTTTGAACACTTCCTTTTGGTAGTGAGGATGGTCAGAATGTTACTTAAACTGCGTGCAAGCTTTGTACAGAAGGGTAAGACTTAAGGTGTTAAATTTTAAATAACTTGTATAAGGAAAATATTTTTAATTCTGATATGCTCATTAATTATTATATCTATTTGTTGTTTTCAATGCAGTTCCCCATAAACAAGTTGTTGTTCCTAGCAGTTACAAAAGGGTAAAAGGATCACTTATATTTCAAAATTATTTTAATTTCATGTGATAGATTTTTAGGGCTGCATTTTTCTAAGTCTAAGCACCTGTAGCTCCTCCCCTATGAAAGATTGCTTAACTTGTTAATTATATTCCTGCTATTTGGTGGTGGTTCAGAATCACTGAACTAAAATGACAGTTTCCAGTGATTTTTTTTCTTTTTTTTTTTTTTTAGAAAGGGTTTGGAGACCTTTTGAATCAAGTGTGTAGGTAATGCCATAATAGATGGATTCCTTTATCAGCTTACTATGTGTGTAGTCCAGACATCCACAAATAATTCAAAAGACCACAGAAATGGCTAAATTTTTGATACAGAAAGTTATATAAAAATTTTAACATCCTGACTGCAACTCTTAATCAAGGATCTACTTTACTAAAAAGTATAGCCCAAACTTACCTGCCGCAGTTAATCTCCCTAAAGTTTCCAGATGGCATGTAATTTCATGAAGAGAGCTGCACAGCTTTGAGAACACAAATTTTGTTAGAGTATCTTTAGACTGTCTTGGTAACAGAAAATCAAGCAGTCGGATGCACTAAACCTTGTGTAGTCACTTTTTCACTTGCCTTTTTTATTATTGTTTGTTTGGTTGGTTGTCTTGAGTTTGGGTTGGTTTTTTTTGTTTTGTTTTGTTTCATTTGTGAAAAGCAATGAAGTTGTTCCCCCCTCCTTCCCTTCCTCTCCTCAGAAGGTGAACAACTTGTCTTTGTGCATAGGTCGTTCTTGCAAACCCTGCTTTCGGAAATGTGGTTACTTTTGAAAAAGGAGAGGGAATGGGCATTATACTTCAGAAACTCACCATTTCAAAAACAATTTTGTGTTTCATTGGGTGCTTGGAAAGATAATGAAAAAAGGACATAGCAAAGATAATTTTCACTAAATTAGAGAAGACTGAGAAGCAGAAATGATTTCTGCTTCTTGCTTGAGAACGAAACTTCTCAATCATTTAACAAAGTCACAAGTGTATTTTAGCAGTATGTAACAACTGCTCTAACTTTATTCTCTCTGATTTACTTGCCTCCAAGTGCATTTATAGTCTCAGTAGTACACAGATAATAATGGCCAGTCTTCGCGAGCGAAGATCCGGGGAAGGTCTTTACACCTTCCAGCCTGCGCATTGGATTTTTTAGGTGAGACACAGTGTGCGCGGAACTGAGCCCACCCTTTTAATCCTAAGGTTCATCTGCCGGGGCCAAGCGAGCTTGGACGGTGGCAGCGAGGTCCTCAGGACGTAGATGGGTTGCCTTTAAGGGCTAAGGAGCTCCATCCGAGACCCGGGTTCAATTCCTGGCCAGGGCCACTCCCGGGCTGATGGAGCTCGTTAACCCTTAAATAGGCAATCACTATAGGTCCTGAGGACCTCGCTGCCACCGTCCAAGCTCGCTTGGCCCCGGCAGATGAACCTTAGGATTAAAAGGGTGGGCTCAGTTCCGCGCACACTGTGTCTCACCTAAAAAATCCAATGCGCAGGCTGGAAGGTGTAAAGACCTTCCCCGGATCTTCGCTCGCGAAGACTGGCCATTATTATTAGTACACAGAAAAGTCACAACAAATTGTAAAGAGGTTTTTCGCTGTGATTTTGTACACCTGTGCTCTCATTGATACAGACTAAAACTGCCTGTAGGCTGTCTAGAGCCATATGGTTGTTAGAAAGCCATCTACATTCATAAGCTTTATGACAAATTAATTGGTGATTCTTCTAATTAATTCTTTTAGTGGAATCATCATTTAGAGTGCATTTTTAGCTTGGGGCTTCAAGGTGTCTCAAACTGATCAGTGTTTGCTTTTTTCTGAACAAAGCAGATATTTTATTTTTTTTTTTACCACTGTTGACACTTCTATGTACAACTGCAAGGAAATCAATAATATACCAACTAATTCCTCCCTCCCCTTTTCCATGTCTGTTACCAGTAAGTCTTAAGTAGCAGACTTCAGAAAAATTCCTGTAATGCTGCACAGCCAAACCAATCAAAGGAAAAAATATCCTTTTAGCTATAGATTCTTTTTTGTACTACTGGAACCCAGATTACTTGTACAACACTTTGTTTTCGTACGTTCTAATTATATTTTTCACCCACATACATATACTAGAAACTGCATCGCCTTTATTTTTAAGGAGTAGCTGAACTTTAAAGGTAATTAAGCTTAGTCTGTTCTCAAGGATGTTAGAAGCTTTCTGAACTTCTGCACAGTCTCTTGCAAGGTAGTTGTATGGTATGCTTTTCAGATAAGTTTTGTCTTCAAATACAAATATCTGTGAAGTTTTGGGGAAGCCAGTCAGACCATGCACATACCAATCTGTGCTCTTATTGCTACATCAAGTGTTCCTTTTTTAAATCAAAAAGCATGTTTAATTTCATTTTATTGTAGCAGCTTGCTGTAAGAATGTAGTTTGCTTAATTTTATTATTGTACTTGAATTTTTAATCATGGTTTTAACTATATAACTGAACAGACCATTTCATTAGGTTCAAAAGAGACCATTCCTTTCAGAGGGCAAGGGATTCTCATGTTCATAGTTCATAAATGAATTTTTTCCCCCTTTTAGAAATAGCTTTTTTTGTTGTTGTTGTTGTTTCAATTTAAATAGTTCAGTATTATGGAAACAATTAATGGTTTCAAGAGGGCTTATGTTAAAATTTGCACAGATAATGGAGCACCTTTTTATGATAGAAAAAAATGGGGAAAGATAACTTCATAATTATAACCATGATGGCTGGTGGAAACTTGTAGAGCAACTGGGCAAAATTGAGTCTTGTGCCTTTTCAGTTTGCAGAATACCTGTTTTGCCAGTATGACAATACTTTTTTTGATTCCCGAGAGAGTAAATTTCCTGCAGTGCTTCAATCAGAAAGGCAACTTTTTTGCTCTAGTTATGTTGGGTTTTTAGTGTGTGCAATTATTTAAAAACATCTAAGTGGAAAACAAATTGAAATATGTTTTCTTTTAAGAAGATAATAGAGAATTTAGTCACATAAGGAACTTTATATTGGACTATTTAAATAAAATGTGTTTTTATTCCCCCTCAGTTGCTGGATAGCGGCAAGATTTCTTTGAGGCTTTCATACTCCTTGTTTCCTGCATTGTACTCACAAGTTGCATTTGAACATCATTCAGTTTCCTAAACACTGTTTAAAGTGATAATTGTGGTCCGAATTTATTTCTAAGAATGATATGTGATTCTGAAGCACATTTTCTAGAAGAGCGCAAAAAACATGTTGTGTCATGTAACAGATTTTTTATAAATGTTTTCTTATCTCTCTACTGCACAATTAGGAGTGTTAAAGTAAACTTCATTGAGTCTGTGAAAATAATTCCACCACTTGACTGTTAGCAGTAATTATGTCACCACATAACACTACCAGAGTAAAGTTTCTTAGTTTCAGTGAAGGAGTTAGAGACCTTGTTAACTAAAGTTCGTATTGATTCAATCTTTTCAATTTGTAAAAGCTCCTTTAAAAACAATAAAGCCCCCCCAAAACTTCCCCCAAAGCAAAAGCTTTCTGATAGAATACAGTAAGATGTCTAGGAAGTGAACAGTGGTTTTAGGGTAACACACACTGGATTGATACTGGGCTGCCTTATACAGCATTGTGGAGTTTACTGTGTGCCACCCCACCCACACCCCCCTGACTGAGATTAGAGTTTTTCTAAAACTTTGAGATCAGTGACTATACAAGATGAAGAAACTTGCATATTGTTCTGTATTGGTGTCTGGCATTTAAAGTCTTGTTTTTCCCATTGCTGTGATTGGTTGGGAAATATGTAAAACCAGTACATTGGTTTCCATGTTGTCTACTTTTTTCAGGCAGTTCATGCAGTGTGTTTTTTAATTATTTTTTGATGGATTAGATGTGGAACAAAAGGGGCTTTTTTAAACAGGAAGAACTACCTTGGGTTAGCTGTATGTACAGTCATCCAATGAAACATGTTCCAGAGTGCATAGGGTACCAGTAGATTATGGAGAGGGGGACTATCCTTTTTTGCTGTTCTGAGCTACTATTGTCAACTGCTGTTGTACATATACTGTTATGTGTAAGGGGGTAAATATATTTATTATGTTTGTAAAATTCATTCTGTACAATTGCAGATCAAGGTTGCTCCTCTGTGATATACAGGATATTATGTTTCAAAGGCCATGCTTGGAATACGATTAGAGAACTTAGTATTTTGATGTACTAAGACCTATTTTAAGTTTAATATTTTGCCTTTGCAAAAACTTTAATTAAAGATGTTATTTAAAAATGTTTGCCACTTCATTTACTATCTTGCATATGCATTTGTTTCATATATAAGGTTTATTACTACTACATAATAACACTGAAGGTTCTGAATTTATTTTCATCTCACACAGTTAATTTCATTGTCACCTATTTCTTGAGTTTGCCTTGGAGACTTTCCATTTAACATCATCACAATGTTACAAAAAAATTTTGCAGTTTAATCTTGAGGCCAGACTTGTGTATTTGTTTCAGTATTTTCTCCCTATGGTAACTTGAGGCTTAGGTGTTGAGACAAGATTGATTGAACAATGTGGTGTTAGGACCAGTGGTATTCTGGGGTGCATCGGGAAGAGTGTGATCAGCAGGCCTGGGGATGTGACCCTCCTCTTCTGCATGGCGCTAGTGAGGCCCCATCTGGAGTATTGTGTTCAGTTCTGGTCTCCACAGGTCAAGAAAGACAAAGAGCTACTGGAGAGGATCCAGTGGAGGCCATGAAGATGATTCGGCGTCTGGAGCATCTCTCTTTTGAGAAGAGACTGAGCGAGCTCAACCTCTTCAGTCCAGAGAGGACAAAACTGACAAGGGGTCTCATTAATGCATACAAATATCTCAAAAGCTGGTGCCTGGAGGATGGTGCCAGACTCTTCTAGGTGGTGCCCAGTGACAGGAGCAAGGAGTAATGGACATTAACTAAAACACAAGAAGTTCCACCTCAACATGAGGAAGAACTTCTTTACACTGAGAGTGGCAGAGAACTGGAACAGGCTGCCCAGGGAGGTTATGGAATCTCCCTCTCTGGGGACATTCAAAACCCACCTGTGATGATCCTGTGTCACCTGTTCCAGGTGACCCTGCCTTGGCAGGGAGGTTGGACTGGATTATCTCCAGAAGTCCCTTCCAGCCCTGACAATTCTGTAATTCTGTGTGACATGTCAGTGCCAGTCCTGTAAGTGGAAATGAGAGACAATGTCAAGAAGTAAAATGCAGAGTTCTTGAATGATAGCTGGCTGATTAAAAAGGTTTCATCTTCATCAATTGATCTAATCTGACAGAATTGCTTTCTGGCATAAGCAGCTGACATATTTTTAGTTCTTGTCTAAAAGCAGTACCTTGAGACATGACCTGTGATTTATTTTTAAACCTAAGTTTTGAACTTGAAATTCAAATAGAAAATAAGCTATAAGCTATACTGCCTCTGTGGGGTTGTATTTTGTAATGTGGGATTTTGACATAATCTTTTAGCTGTAGTGGTGTCAAGGTATAGCAAACCAAGATTTGTAAGGAGTGATGTATTTTGGTTTGGGTTTTTTCCCTGGTGCTCAAGGGTTCTTCCTTCCCCCCCTCCCCCAACTTTAATACTCCTCTTTGCCCTCCAGCTCTCAACAGTTGGGCAGCTCTGAAAAAACACAGTACTGCCTTTTCCATAACATTTGTCTTACTTGAGGAAGAATTTGGAGTTGATTCTGGATAAATATCAGAAACTATGATGTTTTATCAAAAGAGATCATTACTGTCTGAGCTTGCCTACTATGTAAGAAAAACAGTTCAGAAGAATGGCCTGTTGTTTTCACCAAAATGTTTTCAAAAGGATCCTGATAAGAGGAGGCAAAACAGAATGATGACAAATTAGTAGCAAACTGAAGTTTAAAACACAAAAAACTCCCTGGATTTAATTCCTGTAAGGAAAGATGAGAATGTTGTAATTAAATGTTAATTGCACTCTCCCAGCTGTATTGGAGCAAAGTATTTCAAGGAATTTTTTTTTCAAAATCAAGTATAGTTAAAATTACATGAATTTTGTCTGACTTTTCTATAGCTTGTTTATTGCCATTGCAGAGGTATGAGAGGATAAGAATCTTGGGATATTAGCGTAGCTTTCACTATATCCCCATTTAGTTTCAACTACATATCATTCTTTAAA